AACAGCCTATTTAGATGGAAGATATAGAGGGTTACCAACTACACACCGTTTATGTATTTGTCATACCTCACAGGTGGAAGATCTGACTCACATTGCAGATTATACCAAGAACCAAGAGTTAGATTTATTACGCCTTTGCTAAGTCAGTTGAATCAGACTAATCTAGAAAACATTTATTTCTTGTTGTATGATGAAAATGAATATGTAACTAATCAAGTTGCATTGTTTGCAATGGCTGCAAGAAAGATATGGAGGCAAATGTTGACAAATAGCGTGGCAAATATTAGAGGGGACGGACTGAATTGATATGGATCGCTGTAATTTTAAATGAATTTTGCTAAAATCTAAGGTTGCAAATAAACGTATGGAATGGAGTGCTGTGTCTGTGTATGCACACCTCTGAGTCAGTGTTGACTCTTGGTGACTGCCTGAATTGGTCCCCACAATTTTCTTGGCAAAATTTTGGAAGTGGTTTGCCATTGCCTGCTTCCTAGGGCTGAGAGAAAGTGACTGGCCCAAGGTCACTCAGCTGGCTTTGTACCTAAGGCAGGACTGGAACTCAGACTCTCCCGGTTTCTAACCTGGTGCCTTAACCACTACACCAGATTGGCTCTCTAATACATACTGAGATGATATTAATTTTAGTTAGCCCTCCTATCGTAGGTACCTTCTCGAGGGCAAGAGGGAGCAAGTCAAGAAACGTGCTGTGATACAAGTGCGAAGGGGTGGAGCTTGCCTTTTGTGACATCACAATGTCGGCTTTGTTATTTTATCGTCATTGTGGTTAGGATTTTAGGAATAAACACTCACGCCTCCTCCTCTCCCATTAAGGCTCTTTTGCAGCAGCCCAGAGCTCCTTTCACCTTGTCAAGGAAAAAAGGCTGCCTCACACGCAACACTCTTCCTCCTATGTCTTCTGCTTCCCACTAAGCCTAACCAGCTCTTCTCCCCCATCAACATCCACACGTTGTATGCAGAAATACAGCCCTGCCAATCTGGCACGTTTGCAGCATGGTCTGCTCTTGGTTGCTGGGCTCCTGTGGAAGCTGTCCAATAAAGTGACTGAGAAACTTCTGCTGAGGTCTACTCAGCAGCGGTTGCTCTTCTTCTCCCCCAACACTCAGTCCTCACACAAAGAAATGGGAGAAGAGGAGTCCATCCACAGGAACAGACATTTTGTTAGCTGCCTCGGTGACCTCAGGCAAGCTTCAGTAGACTGAAATGCTGTGTCAATGAACCTCAAGCAGGAAATCAGCAATTGCATCCCGGACACGCTTCCCTTCCAGTAGGTTCTGATCATCCTTTGGTTCAACAACAATTTTTCGATGTGGAATGACAAGGTACTCCTGTGCTAGAAGGCTGCAGCTGAGGACGTGCCCTCGTGCTTCACAAATATTGTGCAGAACAGCACAGGCGCTAATCACCGAGGCTACGTTTTCCTCTGCAACTGGCAACCGTGCTGTCAAGCACCGCCAGCGGGCCTTCAGCCTTGCAAATGCATGCTCCACAACCACACGGCAGTGATTGAAGACGCAGTTGAAAGTTAGCTTCCTCCGGTCTAGATGGCCTTCAAAAGGTTTCATAAGCCAGGCACGCATTGGGTAAGCTTCATCTGCCAATATGAGTGGGGGAATAAGCACCCCACCCAGCGTAATGGTTGGATTTGATGGCACAAAAGCACCCGAGTCCATCGCCTCACAGATGGAGGACATACCAAAGGTGAAGTCTTCATGGTTCTTACCACTCCAGCCCACTTCAATGTTTGTGAAGCGACCAGAATGATCCACAGTTCCTTGAAGGAAGAACGATAACATTTCCTTGTGGCTTGTGTATTCATATCCCTGTCCAGTGGGGGCACAAATTGGTACGTGGCAGTCATCTATGGCTCCAACACAATGTGGAAAGCCCATCTGTCCAAAGCCATCCATGATCTAGGAAATAAAAGAGGGACCAGCTGAAGAAGCGGGGGGAACCCAGCAAAGATGCGCTCAGTGATGATAATTTGAGACATCGGGGAAATGCAACTTCAGGAATTAAGACCCTGAAGACAATGGCATCTTTAGCCTCACCATTATGCAGGCAGGAATGTGTTAGGAAGGACTCAAGGGGGCCAAAAGGTGCTCCAGTTTTGCTTCAAGGACACTTGCAGGAGAAGGATATTGCTCCCCCCTGCCCCCCGCCCAGCCAACCAACCAACTTTGTCAACCTCTGAACATTCATTGGGTGCACAGGAAACTTACCTTCTGGTATTCCCCCAAACAAATGACATCCTTTAGAAGAACATGCTCTATTGCAAAGCACACCTCAAGAACAATGGCACCCACTGTTGATCTTCCAACACCAAAATGGTGGGCAACCTCCCGGTAGGAAGCCATGGTTGCCAGCCACCACACAGCAATGGCTACTCGCTTCTCCACAGAGATCGGCTGTCGCATAACAGTCAGCTGACGCTGGAGTGTCGGTCGGAGAAGATCAGCAATGTCAAAGAGTGTCTTCTTTGTCATCCTGAAGTTCTCCAGCCACTTCTCATCTCCCCATTCCCCCATGAGGAGGTCCTTCCACCAGTTGGTGCTGATAGGGTAGACCCACTGGTGCCTGGGGGTTGGGGCTGAGCCCAGCACAGCACCCATTGCCATTCTCCTCAGGTGGGTGACTTGTCGGGGCCCCTGACCAAGAAGCAGGGGGTCACTCTGCAACCGGTTCAGCAAGGCCCAGAGACTCCTGATCCTGCCGCGACACCTCCTCTTACTCCGGGCATACCTTTCCACTAGGGTGGAAGTGCTTCGCAGGACAGCTAGGAGCACAGCAACACAGGAGGAGACAGTGGACAGGTCCCGGGGAAGTTCCATTGTTCCTTGCTGAGCTGAAAAGTGCTAAGCAGGCAGCTCGGAGAAGCTGGAAAAGGGGGAAGGGACAGAAACTGAGGCAGGAAGAAAGGCATCGCTGATTGGCCAGATTCCGCTGACGCACCTTTGGCAAAACAGCCCCCCTCCCTTTTGCTACGAATTTCCATCTTCTCAGACCGCGGAAAACTGGGGACTACGGAGAGGAAGCGACCTAGAAACGCACTGGGCGCGCACACAGATGAGAACGCCTCGGAAAGGACGCGAAGCCGGCGTAGATCGGGCAGCGCGGGGAACCCCGCATCAGTCTGCCAGCGCCCTCCCTCCCTGGCTGGCTATCCGATTCGAGGATCCGTCGAGCCTCTGCCCCGTCTGCTGCTGCCCTGTCGCCGCTGGGCGGGCAGGCGGCGAGGAGTGGGACTGACTTGGTCCCGGCGGTCACCAAACTCAGTGTGGCAGGTGAGTGCTGGCGATCGAGGGGAGGCGGCGAGTGCCGGGTGCATGAAGGACGATCCGATCGCCCAAAGTTGCGTGAAGGAAAGGAAGGGAGGACTCGCTACAGGAGCAGAGTCCGCAGCCCTTCCTATTTCTGGTGTCTGTGTCATGGCAGGCGAGATCAAGCCTGATCTTAAGGGTCGAAGTGCGGGTGTCCAAGATACGGCGACCTCTGGATCCCCTCTGGGAAATCGCAGGATCCCTCCCAGTCCTCTCCCCAAGCTGGTTAAATAACAGCCCTATGCCACTTCCTCTTTTCTGGCAAGAGCTGCTGCTGTCAAACCCGATACCAGCCCCCTTTCCGAGTTCGGATTATGATTCTCAACTGGGCTTACTTCGGAGTAAACTTTATTAGAATTGGCGTGCAAAAATGACCTGCTTCAGTTTTGCTCTGTCAGTAGATTTTGTCAAGAAATTAGCATGCATGTACACGCCCGGTAAACAACTGGACAACTTTGGATAGCGTGTCAGTATTAGGCTTTCAGCACTGATTCTGATTCTTCTAAAATGCTCTGAAATGGAACGAGAAAAGGCTGCTTTGAATTATTATGGTGGATCCCATTCACAGTTATCAGCATGAACGATTTCAGTTTACTGGCTTGAGCAAAGGAACTATTAAGGCTTATACTGTTGAGATGTACTTCAGTTTTCCTTCATTCTACGTAGCACAATCCTGGGCTACCCCACACAAAGTAGGTCTCCCTTCAGTTCAGTTGGTTCAGTGAGTCTTGCTCACAGCCTCCAATTGACTGGAAGCTGCTGCAAATGTCGGATCGCACGTTTGTCCACGAGAAAGAAAGACTATCCACCATTGGCCAAACTTTATTAAAACAAACCCCCAGTTCCTCAAATACTCCTCTTTTATTATGTCTGTTAATTCTAATAAAGATATTGGGCAACTGTACATTTTGAAATGGCTTTTCAACCTTTCCATCTACAGTAATGCCAGCCCGATATTCTCCAGATATCCTAGACTACAATTCCTATCAACTATTGATTGCATGGCATTATTCAGACTACATTTCCCATAATTACTGCCAATGTAGCCACTGGCTAGGTAACAGTGTAGCCCAATTAATTGGGAGAACTCTGGGAAGGCTGAATGATAATACTTTCACAAAACTAACCAACAGGTGCAACACTAACTTTTATAGCATTAACAGAAAGTGAGAGAGAAAGTATCTTTAACATTAAGATTCTGAGATGGCTGAAGCTTGGAAACAAAATCAAAATTTCTAGAGTTTATGATGACTGGAGAAAAATACAAATGTACAAGATGTTGTCAATCTCATTCATAGCTATACCACATGAGATGGAGGTTCCCTATGCAATCCTCCTAGGCATTAAAATCTGCTAGATAGGGAAGGATTTACCCAGGTCTGAAGAAATTCTGGGCAAAGCGTCCACTTCAAGATCCTTCCTCTGTCCTTAGCCCATGTCAGGCTAAGCTTATCTTTCTGCACAAGCTAGTTATCCTAGACAACTTTTTAATTTATTTTATTTTATCAGTCAAATTTATACGCTGCCTATCTCACTGTATAAATGACTCTAGGCGGCTTACAAGTAAAAACTGATAAGCAATTTTTACAAAAATGTACAAAGCTAAAAGCCACCATCCTCAAGCCCCCCCCCCCCCAGTATCGTAAACCCCCATTGAGTCCCCATGCTAGTTGACAGCCAGGTCTTAATGCTCTTCCGGAAGGCCAACAGAGTGGGGCCAATCTCACATCGGGGGCAAGATGATCCACAGGGCAGGGCCGACAGCAGAAAAGGCTCTCCTCCTAGACCCTGCTAGCTGATGGGGTCCTTAACATGCCCTTCCTGCTGGACTGGGTGGGACGGGTCGATGTAACATGAGACAGTTCCTCAGGTAACCCGAGCCCATGCCATGAAGGGCTTTAAAGGTCATAACCAACACCTTGAATTGGACCCGGAAGCAAACTGGCACCAAATGCAGCTCACGCAGCAGAGGTGTTACATGTGCAGCCCTAGAGACGCCCATAACTGCCCGCGCCACCGCATTCTGCACCAGCTGCAGCTTCCAGATGCTTTTCAAGGGTTGCCCCATGTAGAGCGCGTTGCAATAGTCCATATGGGAGATGACCAAGGCACGAGTGACTGAGAGAAGAGCTTCCCGGTCCAGGAAAAGATGCAACTGGTGCCCAACACGGAGTTGAGCAAAGGCCCTCCTAGCCACGACTGCCACCTTTTCCTCGAGCAGGAGTCGCAAGTCCAGGAGGAACCCCAGATTACACACCGAGTCCATCTGGGGCAGTTTGCCTGTTTCCCAGATCACAACAATATTGAATTCTCCACTCAGCCATAGGCAGTTTGCAAGGATGCAAGAAATATAGTCTGAGAACAAGCCCCAGAACCTAGGGATGAAACAGATTATAAATCCAGGGCCCAATTACAATTAACATATACTTTGTTATATATGTTATACAAATGACATTGGTGGAGATTCTGTCAAGATTAAGGCTATAATATACAAGGAATACAACATGTGTCATGGCCCTGATAAAAATCCTCACATTCTTACGTGTGTGTGCGTGTGTGTGTGTGTGTGTGTGTTTGAGTCAATCTTGACTCCTGGTGACAAAATGGACAAGTCCCTGCAGTTTGCGGCAGCGTTTTCAGAAGTGGTTTGCCCTTGCCTGCTTCCTAGGACTGAGAGAGAGGGATCGGCCCCAGATCACCCAGCTGCTCTTGGGGCCTAACTCACAGTCTCTTGGATTCTTCAGTGCCTTTAACCAGTACAGCACCCTGGCTGTCTCTGAGACCCAGGTCAAGCCTGAAGACTGTATTGGCCCAGGAAGCATTGACACACTTTCAGTGGCTCCCTTGTGCACTTCTGCTGGATTGGTCTCTGCCTAGTTGCCCTCCTTCCCATTTTTAGCCTAGGCTACCGATCCCTTGCAAAAGATAATTCCCTTCCCCTTCTCCTCGCCCCTTCCAGCTCTTCTCAAGCAGTCTGCTTTCCTTCCTTTCCCTCTCCTTCATTCTTTCACACACAGGGCTGGATTCCTAAGGATGGCAACGCTGCTGCGCTCTCTGCCTGCTGTGCTGCTCCTGCTGCTGTGTTCGGGAGCAGCCGCCTTCCGGATATGTGCCTTCAACGCTCAGCGCTTTGCTCAAGGGAAGGTGAACAAGCCTAGAGTTGTGGACACGCTGGTCAAGGTGGGTGACAAGGCAGCAGCCTGGGGCAGAGTGAGTCCCCAGCTATTTCCTTCCCGTTTCTCTTTGGAGCACTTGACAAGAAAAATATGGAAAACTCATTTTATTTTTGACCAACATTGCAATACCACTTTTCTGTTCCTTTTTTAACAGCCTTCTTATCACAAATCTAAACAAGTGCTGTCAGGTGGAAAAAGAAGGGAAACTACATTGCAAGAAGGTTTTTATGTTGGCATGTTGTCTTTGAACCACATCATATTTTTCTAGGGATAGGGATTGTGTGTTAGGTGCCAAATTCAACATGGAAAGGACTTCTGCTTTTTTTAAAAAATAGCATTAAGTTTTTAGCCCATATGAAGGTATTGAAAAACTTTGAAATATCTGTTCAGAACCTGAGATCAGAACAATGGGATTGACTCCTTCTCATGCCTATTAGAAGCAAATCAACTCTCCAAATATAAAAGAAGTGAAAACTGTTTTAATTAGCATAAAATGGTAAAGGCTGCAATATTGGGAATCTTGGAATTATTTGATTTTTACACAAGACAATGTTATGCAGCAGGGGGTGTATTGAATGTTAGAATGCTGCTTACAAGCATATACACATACATTTGCAGTGAACATGTCATAGAAGAGCTAGGCTTACAAATATTGCCATCAACTAGTTTTTAGGAAGGTCATCTGCTTGTGCTGGGTGGCAAACAATAGCAGACAGGGGCTCATATTAATGGAGGAAAATACAATCTAAAGCAGTAAAGGGTTGACATAGATTTGCTACCTCACTGAGAACTAAGTTGACAACACTGTTATTTTCTATGGGCAGGGAACAAATTCTTTGTTTTGAATAGGTCATGCAAACTTCTGACCGTGCAAACTCCTACCTGCAAAATGAAAAGAAGCAGTCCAGAAATGATTTGGCCATGCCACTGGTTTGTGCAGATGTTGCCTAAAAGAAAAGTTCTAGAATAGGAGAAGACCTTTGCCTTAGAATTTGGGTCACTGTAATTATGTTCACCTGACATACTAAACCCTTAACCTGGGTTAGCTAAATATAATTGCTGTATTCTGATATGATACAAAACCCAAGCAAGTCATGTTGTAGTTTAATGTGATGGCCTGGTTCATCCAACATGCCAAGCCAGCTAGACTCCCATGATGTGCAAAACTACAACCCCCCACCATATTTTAGCCTAGTCTAGCATGCTATGGGAATTAAGCCTGTGAAAAGTTATTCCATCATATCTGTCCTGTAGAAGCCCCTATGGAGTCATGACATCATTCCTCAAATGATGTGACTTATGTAATTGGCATCACTTGCATCACGGCATGAATTGCCAACGGTGCATAATTTGCATCCCGTGTGCAATGATGTCATGATGTGCATGATGTCACTCTTCCCCTGGCTCTGGATACCCATATATCAATGTTGGGAGTCCATTTTAAGTGAAGAAGAGTTGGGTACATAGCAATGCAAAACTCTGGATTCCCTCGTTACTCCTCACTACCTATACACAACTCCATCTCAACATTATTTTTTTGCTAAGTAGGGTTTATTTCTGACTGAGTACAGCTAAGAGAAAAGTGGTGGGAGCAGGGAGCAGCTGGCAGCAATGTTCCTTTCCATCCTGCTCGCCTGATATGTGGACTACTCATTTTGCTGCTTTCTCTGATTCCAGCTCTTAGATCGCCTGGACCATATTGAGAGACGCAGAATCAGTCACAGCAACCAAAAGGCTCGGGGGAGGCAAGGTGGGGATTTCCCCAAAGGAAAGGAGAAACGGGTCCAAACACAGATGGGTTAATTCTTCTACTCTGCTCTATCCCCTTCTTTATGTTGACAGATCCTGGCTCGCTGTGATATCTCAGTCTTACAAGAAGTGATGGATGCAAAAGGGAAGGCAGTGCCTGCTTTGATGAATGCCTTGCGCCAGTGAGTCTGAGGGCTGCCGACGAAATATGATCCAAAAGATCAGAGGGACATAAATAGATGAGCAGGAACTGACCTCAGGGACAACTGAGAATTTGGAGCGATCAAATGCAGGGAAGGACACATATAGGCAGTGGAAGTGGAAAGGACGCATATGGGCAGGAAAGATGGTCCAGATATTTGAAGAAGACAAACAATTGGTTTTCTCCTAGGTGACATAACCTGGGTACAAGTCTCCCCCGCAGCCTCCTCAAAACAAAGGAGAGCTGTGTTTGATGAAGAGTGCTGTGTAGTACTCTTCATGGGCTTTGCATGCCAGAGTTGTCTAATGGGTTTTGCTTGGCTTAGGTCTGTCTGGGTTTGGCCCTCTGCTTCCAGCAATAGCCCTGCAAATCTGGCATCTCATCTGAGGGGGGCGGGAATAAAAGTGGAGACAGAAGTAAGATTGCCTTTGAGAATGAAAGGGAGAGGCTCCTCACTTTTGCAGCTATGGGGCCTGGCCCTCCTTCACCTAGGGCCTTTTGAAAAGGACAGAACTGACAATGGCCCTAGGTGAAGATAGGGGAAAGCAAAAACATGATCTTTCTCAGCAGGAAATCTTTCCCACAACGGGAAAAGCTCAAATCTGGGGGCTTTCTAGCTGACTCTGGAATATTTGGTGACGTCACATACGCTGGGCGATGGTGGGCTGTGATTGGAGGGCTCTCCGCAACTTAGTGCTCTGGTGATAAAGGAGGCAGGAAACCAGTGCCTGGATCCCTGGTCAGGGCCTTCCTGATCCACCCCCAGCCTGGATCAGAGATTATCTAAGATGCCCACCTTTCCACAGCCGCAGACTCTTTGTTCAGCAAATAAAGCATGCTTGAATCTAATGGGGGTTTCTTGTCCCAGGTTTGATGATCTTCACAGCTACAGCTACCTCGCCAGCCCTTTGCTGGGGCGTGGAAATTATCAAGAACGATATGTATTCATATACAGGTAAATTCACTTAGTCCACATGCTTGTAGCAATATTTAAGATAGGGTCTACATGTGTTATTGAACATAGGGATAATAAAATCCCCTCACCTTGCAAAATTTTTAATATCCATGTCAGATGCATTATTCCTTGTGGGTGCCAGATCAGGCCTTTGAGAATACCTCTGTCAACACACAGGGATGTGCTCACATACAAGCATTTCAACTTTATTTATTTATTTATTAAATGTATATGGCCACCCATCTCATACACATGACTCTGGGTGGTTAACAGTAAAAAACATTTTAAAAAAATTAAATTTTCTTTTCATACCACATATATACTCCACATATATGCACACAATCTTTTCTCTATCCATTTCTTTTCTCTATCTATCTATCTATCTATCTATCTATCTATCTATCTATCATCTGTCATCTATCTTCCCTCATTTCATTGCATCCTCTGCCATGTGCATACATGGATTTGTGAGCAAATCCATCCACCACCATGATTTGCTTCCAAACATGAATAAATGCCTCCAGAGTCACACACCTGTTGTCTCCCAACTATCATCCTTCAGACACATAAGGAATCAGCCATACCCTTAAACCTGGAAGAGACCAAGGAAGAAGCTGTGAGATCCCACACACTGCACATTTAACGAAGTCTCACAATTTAAGTTGCAGGAGATGAAAATGATTTGGATTCACGGGCCTGGTATAAGCATACAGGGGAGATCTTGTGGACACAGGTGTGCTTACAGACACCACATGGCCAATCCTTGTCTCCACATAATGACCCTGCTTTTACTGGAAGAAGGATAAAGGACAAAACAATGTGCTAGGACTTTTCAGCAAGTTGTGCCTTGACACAACCTTCTGAATCTAATCCCACCAATCCATCCTCACAATGCATAATCCATTAAGCAAAACACTCAATGCACCAATAAAAGATCATCATCATCATCATCATCATCATCATCATCATCATCATCATCTAAGATCTGAAGTAAGAGTGAAAGAAGAAAAGTGACAAAATCAGAGGAGCTGTAGAATCAATACAATGTTATTCCCTTCTTTACTTATAAAAATGCAGTGGCCCATCCAAGGTAGGTGGAGGAGTGGAAAGTCAGAAAAATCAATGGGAGCACAGCAGGTACGGCAAAGAGGAGACTGAATCCTTCCCCCATTGCACTAGCAAGGAAAGTCCTTCTGAAGGTAGGAAGAGAAATACAGAAATCCAGCTTGGAGAAAAATCCAGTGTTGGGTCTTTAATGCTAACTTTCAACCCCTGCCTGGGAACAAGCCTGTTTTCCTGTGTTTTCCACTTCCTGTAGGAATCAGAAGACTCAGATACTGGACTACTATAAGTATGAAGACCTGCATCCAGACCGACCTGATGTCTTTGCTCGTGAACCCTTTATCGCCCGCTTCAGCATTGCAAACAAAAGTAAGATCCCAGATTATAAGTGGGGTTTCATTTCCAGCAGTGGGAAAAAATAATGCAAACCTCTGCAGGAGAAATGATCCAGAGGGAAGTTTCTGGCATTTTTTCTTAAGCCCCATTTCAAAGGCTCCTGCTGTTCTAGAGGATGATACCACCATGATGTTCTGTACCAGAAATCTCTATTCTCCAGTCTAGTTGGATCCAGGGACACGTTTAGAAAATAAGAAAGTAGCAGGACTTCTCATAAAATGGTTTGATGAGAGACTATCTAGCCATGAAAAAGAAATTATTGCTCTAACAAGCCATACACAAGATGGCAGTTGAATGAGTCAGAATCTCAAATGCCAGATGAGAAGTTCCCCCTGCCCCCCACCCAAAATAACAAAACATGAATTTAACAGAATGCAAACTAACAGGTTTCAGGTAACAGAGAAGACATTTACCTTAGAAGCTTACTGAGTACAAGATAAAAATGGGATCTAAGGCTGTATTGTTAGCTTATATACATGCCCTCACAAAGCAGAACACAATTATCATAATATTGATTTCAGAGACGGAAAACTGATCACCCTTGGAAAAACACTGATATTCCCCCCACCCTAAAATCTGCAGGAAAACATACCGGACCATAAAAATCATGGAAACAGACAAGAAGAAAGATTAATTTCTGCTAGCACCTAATGCTACCACTCAGTGGGATAATCCTTCTTCCTTTCTTTTTCCCTTTTATACAAGTTGCAATGTATTTTTCCTTTTTTATATACAATATAATTTCAGTAGGAGGCTTAGCATGCTAGAAAATGAGTTTGTTCTTCTTGCTGCCCCATCTTCTTTCTTTCCTTCCCCAAGAGTTCTCTTGGGCCACGGAGAGGAGGTGGGTGGGGACCCCTTGCTTTCCAGCACCTCTGGCCAGAGATTTTTTAAAAAGAGTTTCAATTTTTTCCCTGATACCTGCATTCAGGGAACCCTGGTTTGTTTCAAGACTGTTTAGGAGAACCAAGGGAAATCAAACAGAAATTCCAAAGCTTAGCTTGTTCTCACTGTTGTGGTTGAATTTATTTCTTTATTTTTAGCTTATCCTGTACTGACTACCCAGGTGTCTCAGTAGTTCATCACAAATAATGTGTTGAGTTTGGTTTCCAAGTTGAGTGGCTGATCCTTACAGTTATCTTTTTCTATTTGCTCTTCTTCCAAGAGCTTCCAGAGCTGGTACTGATCCCACAGCACACAATGCCATCGAAGGCTGAAGTTGAAATTGATGCCCTCTATGACGTTTTCCTGAACGTTCAGGAACGCTGGGGCACCAAGGTATGTCTGGGATTGATTCAAGAAGCAGAGAATTTATAGAAGGGCCTCAAACATAGGAACCCTCACACAGTCCTCCCCCTCTCCCCCCAGTCCTTTTCCACTACAGGTTGTCATCCCCAGCTACATTTGGAATATTAGTATTGCTTTGTCTATGAATACTGTATTCTTACGTAGGAAGACTTGTGATATTCATTCATACCAGCAGCATCCTGCTGTTTTCATCACAAGGAAAGCAGCATCGTGCCATCCCAGCACAAACCTCCATTCCTTTCAGGCATGCACACAACATCACAATCCACGTAGAAAAGGGGCAGGGCTTGCACTGCGAAGTTGTGATGCTGCTGGTATCAGTCTGACCTCCCCTCTCCCCTGTTCCCCTGCCCTCGCATATGGTGTTGATTCAAACATAGGAGAAGGCATTTCCTGGAAAAGATGGTCTTGAAAATAACTAGGTTCCGGGCTTGCTTTTTCTTTCATTCTCAGATAAAATCCTTAAAATCATTGAAAGTAGAATGAAACCAGAATTATATTTGATACATGTACAGCCAGCTAATATTCCACCAGCAACATTTCAGATTAATCTAAGTTTCCTGGGCACTTCCAAGGCAGCTCCACGTTAAGAATGCTATCACTTCATGCCAGCTGGCATGACTAGCTAGAGTTTGCCAATTATCTAAGGCTTGAAAAACCGGCTAGAAATAATGCTACCAACTCTGTGTCCATTTCAACATTTTTTTCTCACTTACTTATGGTAGTCATACTCTGCTGTTCATGAAATGTCAGTACAAGTGGACCAAACAAAGAAGGAAAATAAATTACTCATCTAATAGATAACATGTTAAAAACAGCATTTCATTATTCATGCATGCATATCTTCACAACAAACTCATAGAGTGGCCTCTGTTATCCTTCTGCAATGTGCCCTGATGGTCCTTGGAAAGGATTACAAGGTAATAGTGGTGACTTTGAATGCTCAAGAGTAAAATATAGTCTTGGTTGAACTGTAGATTTCTTGGCAACTATTTATTTATTCATATCCCACATTTATTAGTACAAATCAAGGCAGCATATATAATGCTCTCTTCTCTTATTTTCCTCACCACAACAACCTTGTGAGCGGGGTTGGGCTAAGAGGGACAGACACTGGCCCAAAGTCACCCAGCTGGCTTCCATGCCCAAGGCAGAACTCACATTTTCTCAGATTCATGTCCAGTCCTTTAACTGTTACACCAAACTGGCTTTCAATAGAAAAGTGTTTTGTTATTGCCTTTTTCAGGATGTTTTTCCTACTTCCCAGTTTAGCCTACAACTTTGGGATTTCCTAGTGGTCTCCCATCCATGTACTAACCAGGCCCAACCCTGCTTATCTGTTCAAGATCAGCCATGTGCTGCCACTTGTTGATATCCAATGCTATGTATTATTCTTCAAAAGTGTTGGCACGTTGCTGGGTGAATATCTGCCAATAATAGCTGCAGCTGAAATAGTGCTAACCCACTAATTCTACTAGTCACTTAATGATTTTGAGAGATCTGATGTTATTTCCTTTCCTTCCCCCATAGGACATGATGTTCTTGGGTGATTTCAATGCAGACTGTGGATATGTGGCCAAGAAACGTTGGAAAGAAATCCGCCTGCGTCAGAAACCTGGGTTTCATTGGCTCATTGGAGACCAAGCTGACACCACTGTTCGAGAGAAGACCCATTGTGCCTATGACAGGTGGGATCAGGACTGCTTTTGGGTCCAGAATCCTGGGGCTGAAGGGCAGGGCCCACATGTGGGGGGGTTGGCTTATCATAAAGAAAGAAGGCTCATAACATTGTGACTTTCGGAGTTATTTAATTGGATCACAAACAGGATCCAAGGTCCTAGGCTTGGGTCAAGTGAAATGTTGCAAGATCCATCCTGCTATAATTCATTTCTTTTCTCAACAGGATTGTGATTCATGGTGAACACTGCCTGAATGCTGTTGTGCCTGGATCAGCTGAGCCATTTGATTTCCCCAAGGAATTTGGACTTTCTGAGGAAGAGGTACCAGACACTTTTGGAAAGGAGACAGAAATGGTGTTATGTAACTACAAATGCGTTCTCTGAAGAAAAAGCTCCGTTTATTTCTTGGTCTAGCCATTTTTGTTTCTAAAAAAGGGCACTCAAAGCAAAAAAGCTAAGGAAGTACAGAAAACACAACAAAAACAATCCATGTTACTAAAATCACATAAGTGCAATCAATGAAAGAGCAAGATAATATAGTGCAGCATAAAAACTGAGAAATCTTAATTACGTTGAAAGCTCAGTGAATTTTTTTTAAAAGAAGGAAAATCCTTCTGTATCTTAATCAAACGTATGTCTGAAGATGGTGGGATGCATAATAATAATAATAATAATAATAATAATAATAATAATATATTAATCTGAAAACAAAGAAATAAAGATCTGTTATTTCAAATCAAGTTCAACAAGAAGAGGATATCTGAAAAGAATGCACCAGTTCTGGAAAGAACAACAT